GAAATCAGATATGTGTTTGATTACTGTTAGTTGAACCCACCGTTTTAGAAATAGAGAAATTGATAGAGATTTAGTATGCTATATTTTGGGTGGAACACCAATGATAAAGACGATGTTGACACTTGATAGACATATTCGATAACATGTGAAATGCAGTCTATCATAACGATGTCTTTATCATGATCTAGTAAGTTTATAATTTACGGTTTACTTGCATGTTACTCAAACATTCGTCCGTCTTCCAATTTTAAATACGATGTTTATATTTGCCGTAACGCAATCTCATTGATAGCGTGGGACTTTTAATCATACCGCAATAACATGTATGGTACACAGTAATTGAGTACCGATTTAAAAATTAATTTACATTTAATATACTCATTAAATGGAATGCTATATTAGTATACATAACCATTTGTAATTTTGTATAGACATATTAATTTTTTCTTTTTATAATTTTTATGCCGATTAAGGAATCCAATTTCATGCGATTTGATTAACAATGTTCTCATTTCTTTTCCCAAAGTAACCAACATGTTAGTAATTGGTATTCTGCGAGGATAAAATGCATAAGATTTTTTCTCCAATAAAGAGCCAGTTTTTACCTAGCTAGAATGCAGAATGCACTTTTTTGATTGCTTATGATTAAAAATATTTATCGTTTATCGCTATTATTTATAACCGCATGCATAAATTTTGCGATCAGTTTGACTTTCTGCATTATGTTAGTAACAAGCTTGCAAGTTTGTAAACCAAACATTTAGAGAGGGATCACTATAACAGTTGAATCACTTCTGACAGTAATGAACATCTTCTTTAATCGGGCTATGCTGATTTATTTACAAATTTAATTTTAAGGTGTCCAGATACCATGAAATCGAATTCAACTCTTGTAAAAACTACGATATAAATAAAATTATCATGACAAATTAGAATCCTCCATTTTTATCCTGATCGTAGGAAACTGTCATAACACGATTTTGAATCAATTGCCTGAGATTGTAAATCTGGTTTAGATTATTATCGCAGACAATATTATGTGCATGTGTGAAAAGAAACAACATTACGTAATTTCATTAGATAATAATAACACTTGACGTTTGAAAATTTTCAACTGACGCTAAATTATGTTGGCTGCATGTAAAATTCTATATAAAACGACACCAGCCGTTTCACTTGCTCATTGCCTGTCTTTTCATTCGTTTAACAACAGACGTATATTATACGAAAATTCCGTTCAGAACCAAGCCATTTTCAAGAGCAAAAACACTTGGACCATTTGCAGTGTTATAAACCTCACGTTAGAGAATGGTTCACACCCAGTGACCAAAAATAAAGTTTAAATCCATTAAACGATTTTATCTTCCCATCAGTCTAAATTCTAAACACCTTATTCTACGTTTTCTGCAATCCTCGATATTAATCAGCATACATGAAACGTACGTAATATGTGGGGATGAATGGACGGACTGATCCAGTGATGCTTTGACGATTGACAACACCCCCTGAAAAATACACCCTGGCATTACGTTCACTTGTCTAGTTTCGCTGCCATTTTGGCCTATTTTCCCTGACTGACAAATCAACCGAGTATGATTAAAATAAATCATACGCTAAACTTGGAATAGTAATGACTCTATTAAATGTCATGTTACCAAGCAAGTTTATATATCTTAATATAACCATGCGGTCACATACTGACCGAATTATCAAGAGATCGACTTATAAAGTCTGGTGTGTAATTAGTAAACGGATACACAAATAATCTTCATAGACGCATAGTTTATTGAACACAAAAATCTCGCTATTCCTAAAAGTAAATCACTTGCTCAAATCGATGTACCTACTACTGCTACGTATGCAGCGAATAGGTTGCTTTGCTGTGAAGTCGTAAAGCACAGTAAAATAGGATATTAAAGACACAGTCGTAAATCGAAAAATAACAGGATGATTTACATTAATGTTTTTCTGAATGCAAACAATATTCGGAATACAATGAACGATTGTGATAATGGAAAAAAAAAAAAAAGAGTGGGAATGTATAAATAAAAAAAAGCAGTATTACGTGCAACGAGATCTGGGATGAAACATGATTAAGGGGTAATTGTTTGAGTTGATTCCTATTGGATAGCGAATATCAACCAACGAACAATTCGAACAGGGAAAAACTATCAAGTATGATTAATTTATCGGGTGCTAACTGTTGAGATATAATACGCTCGATATTTACGGACGTATCATTAATTAATCGAATGCTGTCACTTCATGATCAAAGTTAGCTGGTTGGCACCGGAGTTTCAGCGAATCTCTCATTTGGACTGGAATTCCTTATATTAAAATTTTACCTTGTTCTGAAACAAGTAATAATAAACTCTATTGGCATCGTGTCACCACCCCGCTTTATAATTTATACGTCTCAAACCTGTCCTTATCCTTTTTTCCACAATTGAAAAAGTTGCTCTCCCCCTCCCCCCTCCCCCTCCCCCCCCAATATAACCAGTACTTTGAGAGTACTTACTGCTCTATAACATTTTAACAAGAGTCAAATTATCATTTTTTGTCATTGCTGGAAAATGACTACGACAGAAACATTCTTTCAAAGAGAATTTGCTCCCAAGCGTCTAGCTTTTTGGATTTTCTGGTTTGGCTCGCACATTGGCCTCTTCATCTATGGTTTCTTCAAACAAAAGGACGACGCTTCACTCGCCCTTCTCAACTCTATAGGATTTTCCGTATGGACTTCGCGTGGTGCTGGTCTGTGTCTCGCTTACGACTGTTCCCTCATCCTTCTGCCAGTATGCAGGAACATTATCAAATACCTTCGGCTCACCTTCCTTAATAAACTCATACCCTTTGACGAAAACCTCTGGTTCCATCGTCAGGTCGCATATTCGATGCTATTCTTTACGCTGATACATACGTTTGCTCATTACATCAACTTTTACAAAGTGGAAGTACTCGGACTGTTCCCGACCTGGACTGTTCACTACAGAACTTGGGCAGGTCTCACCGGTCACTTTATGCTGCTGATCATGGTGCTCATGTACACCTCGGCCTACCTTCCGATGCGAAATCAGAGCTTTGAGACGTTTTGGTATACCCATCACCTTGCCTTCTTCTTCATGCTTTGTCTTTACTTCCACGCATACGGATGTTTCGTCAAGACTGCAACTGGCATATGCAAGCCGTATTACACGTACAGATACGCATTGGTCGGTGGTGTCATTTACTTTTTCGAGCGCGTGCTGCGTGAAGTTCGTTCTCGTCGAGCCACGCGAATCACAAAGGTCATCTCTCATCCCGAACGAGCCATTGAAATTCAATTCGAAAAGCGTAGTTTCCGCTACAAGCCCGGTCAATATCTCTTCCTCAACGTTCCCGCAATTTCCAAGTGGCAATGGCATCCCTTCACAATTACATCGGCCCCAGATGATCAGTATGTATCGATACATGTGAGACAAGTCGGTGACTTTACAAATGCGCTTGGCGATCTACTCGGTTGCAATAACATACAGGGCAAGAGATCAAAGACAGAGTCTATCGTCATCCAAAACAAGGCTGATTCGTTGCCCACAATTCGCGTTGATGGTGCGTTTGGTGCCCCTGCTGAAGATGTATTTGATAACGAGGTCGTTATTCTAGTTGGTTGTGGTATCGGAGTCACTCCATTTGCTTCCATTCTCAAGAATATATGGTAAGTCTTTTTAAAAAATTATACTCACTCATACCTGATTAATCTCTCGATACCAGTTGATTGTTGCTAATCGGGACTGTCTTTCCCCTCTTGTAGGTACCAACATCGTAATAATCGCCCATCCAAGCTTCGCCGTGTCGAATTCTATTGGATCTGCCGTGATACAGAAGCGTTTGAATGGTTCCAGTCTCTGCTTAAAGCATTGGAGGCATCCCAGATGGAACCTGGATTCTTGACTTTTAATATTTATCTCACTCAAAAACTTAGACAGTCTACAATCCAGAATATTATCATTAATGACGTGTCTGGGCCTTACGATCCTTTGACGGATCTTACTAGTAGAACTCATTACGGACGTCCTAACTTTACACAAGTGTTTGACGATCTGACAAAATCGATTCGATCTGGGAGATATTTGCCCAAAAAGGACAAGGGTCCAACTAACGTTGGTGTATATTATTGTGGACCTGCACCTCTGGCCAGAACTTTGAAAATGGCAAGCAAAAAAGCTGCGAGTTCTGACATCAAGTTCAGTTTCCATAAAGAGCATTTCTAAATTATTTTTTCTTTTGAGAAGGATTTGTAACTGTTAATTTGTTATTAGAGCACAAAGTTGTTTATAAATATTGTTTTCACGGGATTAGCGATCCTCACTGTATACGCTTTGAACATAAATGAAATAAAACAAAATAAAAGATATAGTACTTTGTTACATAATACATACTATTTAGTACATATTTTCATTGGTTTATTTATATTGTGTTGGGAATACTAATACGTAACGAACTCGGTGTCAAAGAAAAAAAGGGTTCGGCTCTGAGATCAGGTTACTGTATACAAATTATAGAAATTTCTATCCAATTAATTATATTACAAATTTAGAGACTAGTCGAAATATCAAATCAGCAGACAAAAAGCTTGAAACCTGACCAAATAGCTGTTCGTAATAAAAGCCGGAACTGCCTTAATGTCTTCCGGCTACCAATTAGAGGATGATTTGAGGTAGTACACGATAGTTTTGCTGCGCTGTATTAATGTTTCGCTAGGCGTCATTGATGGCCTCCGTTAAGCTTATCTTACATGCAATTTTATTTCTGCTGTGTTGTCTGCCATTTCTAACTAAATGCGAATGTGTTCACCACCAGGGCTTTGTATTGTATATATAACATGCGTCCATACAAAAATTATCTAGATTTGTAAAATCTCGCAATTTCTGCTGACATTACTCTATGGACACAAGTCTGATGTAGATTTGTCTATATCGTCCATATAACAGTCCATCTCTGTGCCCATACACAGTTTATGTTCATACTAAAAATGTTGTATCTATTCCACGCGCAAAGTCCCAGACTACTATTTTTTGATCTTGCGAGCAACTGACAATCTTTGTAGCGTTGAACTGCAACTTGAAGACCCTATTGCCATAAGAAACCGTCCAGAGAAAAAAAAAAGTCAATAAACGAAATGATAATCAAGTTAAATACAAAAGTCTTTTTTTTTTTCTTCACAAAATAGATTCTTCACCTGCTATTATGCACATGGGCCAAGTTAGCGACCAGTTCACCCGACTGAAGGTCCCAAACCTTAACCGTCTCATCATAACTACCGCTAACTATCCTATTTCCCTCAAACTGTAAAGTCCGGACAAGATCTTCATGTCCAATTAATGTTCGGATACAAAGGCCCGTCTGAACATCAAACACTTTTATTGTTCTATCGCTTGATCCGGAAACTATGATTCTGCCATCAAATTGTATGCATGCTATTCCTCGAGAATGTCCATCAAACGTCCGAATACATTCTCCAGTTGAAAGAGACCACAACTTGATAGTGCGGTCACCCGATGCAGAAACAACATAGTCATCCTGAAACTGTATAGCATTGACTGCAGCTCTGTGTCCCTCTAATACTCGAGGTCTCTTCAAACTGTCACGACGCCATATCCGGACAGTACGGTCCTTTGAACAGCTAACAATGTGAGTATCGTTGAAGCGAAGGTTGAGTACGCTTTCCGTGTGACCTTCCAACGTGCGAAGAATTTCACCCGTAGCAAGATCCCATATAATAATTGTAGCGTCACTGCTTCCGCTGACAATAATCTTGTCATCGTACTGTAAGCACAGAACAGAAGCTTTGTGCCCTCGATAAGTTCGTACACAGTAACCGGTCTTTATGTCCCAAACTTTGATCGTATCGTCACGGCTTCCACTGATTATTTTGTGTTCATCGAATTGAATACAATAAATACTCTCGGAATGGCCAGGTAATTCTCGAGTTTCGTATTTTCCTTGTCGCCATTTCGAGTCTAGACGTGAGCGCTGGTGGTATAGGTATTTCCAATTAATGCTTGGCATGCCCGCTTGATTCCGGTGCATGAGCAAATTGTAAGGAGTGTATGCGGATGGCGGAAACGGAAAGTGTGCAGGGATGGGTGTGGGAGGTAATGGAACTTGTTGGCGACGTCGGGCCCGCGTACTAGTCGGTAAGCAATGTCGCAGCGGTGTTCCTCTGCTTGATGAGGCGTTGCCGTTCGAGAATTGATTTGCCAAAGTGGTATTTTGCGTGTCCGACATCTGATTGCTCGAATCCAACAGTTCCTCGTTACTACTATAGGCTTGGGAAATGATTGACGTGTTGTGTATCGTAGACGGCCCAGCAGTCGAATATCGCCTAGGCGAACCCGATTGTGGCGCAAAGTCAGCTGGCGAACCGTATTGTGTATTATTTACGTCTTGAGAATTGTTACCATGAAACCTAGAACATTGTGAGGTTCTGTGACTATTCCGGCCTGCGATACTACGTCTTGGAGCTCTTGCCACGGTGCTTGACTCATCGCTAGAGCCGACAGACAGTTCAGAATCAGCCGTCTCATCTTGCACGCTATCCGTTTTGTAACCATCACCCGTATCCATTAATCCATTATTCGTTACATCATTACTTGGTAAAATCATTGATGCATACGGGTCTGTATAGCTCGAGAGATACCAGTCGACCAACTTTTTGTTCACCGACCATCCCTTCTCCAAGAACAAACGTCTCCAAATTATCCCATCAGAAGTAATTTCTCTCCATTTTTTCGATACGCGAGCTGCACAACATAGCGTTTGTGCATCGAGGAACGAGAGAACGTGAATTGATAGTTCATAGGGTAAAAGCTATGCGATTTAACAAAATAGAAATAGTTTATATCAGTTATCCCGGATGTGAGATAAATTTGAAGCAATATTAACTATGTACCGCCAGAAAATCCCTATGAAGCAGTGGGGCAATTCGGTGATGAATTTCGGCGAGCTTCGATGTCGGCAACGTTAGCAATAAGCTGACAGCGAATTCTAGAATCCAAGCACAATTTGTATAATAATTATTGAATGGTAAAGAGTCAGATAGGTCAAGTGCAATTCAAAGGCAGACGAGTCGACCCCTCCCCCCACGTCTCTCTTTAACAATCGTTAGTCTGTGTATATAAGTTTGATTCGACATCCAGGTGAAGACCACTAACTAAGTATGATCTACCCTTGAGTAGTCATCGTAATACTATATAAACACACATACCAACTCTTTGATCCTCAGTTAATGCAGTCACCCAATGCGGTATGGGTATTTCGTTCTTTGGCTCTTCGCATACATCATTGTAACCCTCATCGGTGAGAGCATCCATAATTTGTTGTTATCACTCGTTTCCTTTCGTTTCTGATAAAAGGCACAACACCAAAAGTATAAACACTATAAGTATGCTAGTAATTTTGAACTCCAAATGGTTTTTGCGGACGTTCGGATATACTCACCGTTCAATATCGGGAGAGATCTTTATGAAGAAAATATTTAATAGTCCTAAAACGCACACGATATGAACAACAGATAATTATCCAATAGTTTACAGTTGCACAAAAAAAATTACTCGAACATCCTAATATGGAGAGTTAAACCAGACAAAGTGAACGTCTGGTTTTGCTCTATTTAATATTGGCATGGCTTGGCTCAGACATAAATTCATAGATTCTTAAATTTTGCTCGTGGTAAATATAACTAAAATTTTATGTGAACTGGCACAGATGTTGCAACATCTGTGTAATGACACTAATCCATTATGAACTCAAGAATAACAGCATTATTATTATTAGAAAACAATTTAAAGAAAGTGAAAAAATTGCCCTTTATGTATTTATATATATGGTACCCAAATATTCGCTAGAAACATTCATATCAAATGTAGCCTCGTTATAATTGCTGCTTGTCGAAAAAAAGACTGTCTGATGAGCATCTCACACAAAGAGTCAATTGTAAGCACGATAATATTATCGAATGCGATATTAAAACACCAGAGTGATAGCATGGGAGGTAGTACTCGGTCCCCGAATGGTTGTCTTTGTTTTCATCATCTTCTCTGCCTAATACTAAACCTTGCCTCCTTCTCATCACTCTAATTACTTCGCTGGTTTTTTTCCGTAGGTTATTTTCCGTGGACAATAGTTTTTCAGTAGACGAGGTAGCTAGAGCATTCTTTTACCGAGTAATTCGTGGAGGTTTTGCTATTCGACTCTAACTCGAGCCATTTGCAAAAGAGTTTTTTGATTTTTTTGGTGAACAATCACGTTGTAGTTGTATTTCTTTTTCTTGGAATTTACTGCTTCATCAATTCCCTGATTATAACACAGTTAATTTTGTGAACTTTATGATAAAGGAAAAGTCCAAAAAATTTAACTCAAGAATGAATTCACTTGTAAGAAAACATTTTAAAATAATCAAGTCTGTTTAGTAAGATATATTTTGTAGTCCGCGTAAAGTGCAATTGTTTTAATAGCAGTACGCGAACAAATAATTACATTTTGAAGACAAAATTATAGGCAAAAACGGAATTGAACAATTTTTACATTAAATAAAAGGTATTAATAACACAATTAATTTGCTTTCAATTGTAATTATTTTTTAATAAATAATATATATCCAAGAATGACACTATGTTAATATATAGCGATTTTTTTTTTTGATAACAAGGGATAAAAACAAACATTATACTATTTTTCCCGAAATAATGAATACACGCATTTTATGTAGACATATTGAAAATTTGTCAAAGAGACGAATGGCGGATTCGAGAAAACATACTATCCGCCTCGCCAAAAACATGTCAAATTATAAACTGGCCGCCCAACAGAGAATCCCTACAGACATTCATTGTGCTACAATAACTACATGGTATGTGTTTTAAAAAACTGTTTTTTTGGACGCACACATTTTAACCGTAATACAAATTTGGCAGGCTTACCACCAAATTATTGATATACCACTTATGAGACTGCCACTTAATTATGTACTATGAAGTCATAATAGCGCGCATAATAATAACGATTCGAGGTCAACCTTGTTGTCTTACTCAAATTAAATGTTCTAGGATTTGACCCGTTTCAGTTTTGGAATTGTCACATTAGAATAATCTCTTGCACCAATAAGGTGCACAATTTATGTGACAAACTTGAAACGGATTCCCGTTCTCAGAACAGGTAACAAAAAACTTGTAAAACGGGAAAGTTAGTTTGTTCTCGAACTAACTCGATGACTGATTCGGTCCTGCTACTTTTATTTAGAGAAGCAAATTATTATTGTGAGTTTTGGCAGAATGTGTACTAAATTGCTTCCTAGCATCTAGCGTTCTTGTCAATATTAATATCTTTGTTGTTTCTCTTCCGAGTTACATACTAACTGTAACGGATGGCAAATTTAGTAACGGATCATATGAAAATGATCGGCAACTATCACATAACTAATAAACTTTGGGGGGTTATCTAACGGTAATCGCGAACCTGTTATCATGTAATAAACTGTTTGTGGAAGGGGTGCTTATTAACGAATTATAGTCGACACTTTTTTCTGACACTTTATGGTCGTACAGCATATTCTGCATATGGAGTGGCCATTCATCAAATCATCGTCGACACACAGATGGACTAATTTGACTAGTGTGTAAAAGTGTCGCGAGAGTAATAGTGATGTAATCTCTTGGCACATTTAATTGAAATTTTAACACTTGACGCCTTGTAAAAGAATACAAATACATTAATATTATATAATTTAACTTGATTGGACTTTCTCTAATTATAATAATAATATTAATGCGGTTTAATATTATTGCTTAGCGAACCTGTTCGTGTGCAGGGTTGTTGCTAGCATATAATTAGAGGCATTGCCTGCGGGGTGATTGAACTGTCTTCACATTCATTATGAAACCGTACTCTCTGCAAACCAGGAGTACCTTGGAATATAATAAAACGTGTGGAATCGTTAAAATCCGTACATTTCTATCTTATGCTCTGCTTACATTTGTATTCGTTGGAATGCTCTGCGTAGCATATAACGAGTATTCTCTATTAGATTTCGATTCGCAGCAAAAATGTTCATCAAAAACTGTTACGTTCTCCGTTAACAATACTGCCACTAACACTACCACTACCACTACCACTACCACTACCACTACTACTACTACTGCTACCACTACTGTCACTACTATCATTGCATCACCTGCATCGTCTAACACCGCTACACCAGCTGCACTGTCTAACACGTTGGACATTCCTGAGATTTACAACCTCCCGATACCACGTAAAACACATATGCCTTGTCAATCATACCACGAGTCAAAGGGCATATCATTCGATCAGCTATGGGAATTCCCACCCGTCACGGTATTTATCGGAATATTTATTACCGGAGAAAATTCCGAGATACGTCAAATCCTCCGCAGTCTATATCGATCGCAACAAAAAACACTCATAGGCGATCGAGTAGAATATCGATTTATTATGGGGAAACCAGCCTCACCCGACCTCCAAATTCGTTTGGACATCGAACAAGAAGCTTATGGCGACTTGGTAATATTAAATATTACAGAAAACCTGAATAAGGGGAAAGGGCTTGCATATTGGAAATGGGTCGCAAAGACTTATGCAGGCATTCCTGAAAACAAGTCACTCTTAGTCGCGAAAGCAGACTCGGACATTTTCATTCATTTACAGAATCTCGCGTTGAATTTGAGACCGCTAACGCCCAAGTACCTGTATTATGGACATGAGCGAAAAAAACCAGGTGGTGGTTGGAGGACCGGAATATTGTTTATTCTATCGATGGATTACGTGGAATGGATTGGTAAAACTGATATCCCCCCAAAATACATCAGAGGCCCAGAAGATGTTCGGGTATGGGACTGGCTTAATTGGGGGAACTTGCCAAAGGTGGGATTATAATGACGAGTTAAAAACTTTTGTGTCACCTTCTAATCATTGTATTAATCCATTTGTATCTTTTTCTCTTTCTCTTCGTCTCATTCACTCTCTCACACAGACATC